CCGAGTTGCGGTTCGTCGACGCAGGTGCGCAGTGAGGAGGGTCGGCAATACAAGAAAAATAAAATAAAAATTTACGACCCTTGCGGGGACGGCTTAACGGGGGTTGGATGGGGGCTGGGTTGGGGCGTGGGGGTCGGGTGGGGGCTGGGCGGGGGTGCAGATGGTAGACCAGAGGCAGGTCAGGCAGGCATCAGTTTCGTTCGTGACGCCGGTGAAAGTTTGTGAAAGTTTTTGAAACAACACATTCATTAGCATATCATCCCTATTTCACGTACCAAATTCACAACACATTCACAATGTGGGCAACCATAACATGCATGTGCGTGTTCATTTGTGAGGCTGGTGAAAGTTCGTGAAACAACACATTCATTAGCATATCATCCCTGTTTGGCATACGAAATTCACAACACATTCACAATGGGGGCAACCATGACATGCATGTGTGTGGCATCGGACAAAGACACGATTTGCAACATTGCGACAACAATACCCGCTGTATCGGGCACATTTACGACAACAAACCAGAAACCACTCAGCAAACAACAACTCACATGCAAAAGCGAGGGTAGAAGAGGAACGTGGAGAAGTACAAAGCTCTGAAAAAACACTCCACTGGAAATGCGTATGTACATGTCCGAAGCCAAAAACCGGACCCGTCATCTGAATCGTAAGACAGAGTGGCTAACAAAAAAGTAATGTGATTGTACCATCCGTCACTGTAGACCTGGCACTGCACATCGAGCAACAACATCAAGATAACTATGAAACTACCTTATGAACAGAACGTCCTACCAAAAAAAAAAAAAAAAAACACTAACGTCGCCCACTCCCTACATATGAGCGGCCCGTGCCCCGCCCTGCAGGAGGGCGCGCGCGGCCTTTCTCGGAGGACTGTCAACTTTACGCTCCTCCCGGGCCCCCTCCACTTCCTCCAGCACCTGTGCCCTGTGCACCGTTGATGTATGACGCCTGTGCTGTTGCGGCTGCCACGGCCACAGCTGATGTACGCCGCCTGTGCTGCACCGCTGATGTATGCCGCCTGTGCTGTTGCGGCTGCCGCGACCACGACTAATGAATGCCGCCTGTGCTGCACCGCTGATGTATGCCGCCTGTGCTGCTGCGGCTGCCGCGGCCACGACCGATCTGTGTCTGCAGACCGCATTGTCGATCGGCTCGGACTGTGTGTCAGCGTCCTCGTCCTCGGCCTCCTCGGCAGCAATCGCCTCTCGCTGCCTCTGAATCGCGTCCAATGCAGCCTGGCCAGCGACGATCTTTGCTGTGAGTCGAGCCTCAACCTCCGTGATGGCGCTGGGTCGTCTCGTCCCACGACGCATCATCAACCCCTCCTCGCCCGATGTGTAGTGTTGTCTTTGTTGCATGTCCGTAGATGTCCCTGCTGCCGGGAGGACCAATGATCTCCTCGTCGCCAATCAGGATAAACCGACCATGAGGCCTGCCATGTGAAAACTCGGACGTCCAAAACCACCATCCGCAGACTGACTCTGTGGTGACAAGCGTGCGAAGGCGCCCCTCCCGGCGTCGTAATCCGCCCTCAACCGGTCCGTGACCCGTCGATGAGCTGCCCATCCGCCGACGACACCACCTCGGACAGGCGGCGGGGAACCACCAATGTGCGTACGGGCCGCCGTCTCCTCGTCGCCCGCCTCCACGGCCCATGCGGGTGGTGGGGGCATCGATCCGGCAGATCCGCCGCCGTCACTGCGGAGGCCAGACCCGCCCTCAACCACCCCGGACTCCCGTCCTCTGATCCTGCTGAGCGACGAACCCGACCATCGAGGGCTCGGCACGAGGTAAGGAGGGGGTGAATACGCCCCTCCAGGGGGGCGCCTCTCGCCGCTCCTACGGCCCGTATGGGGGAAGGGGTCCTGTGAACCGACTTGCGCCAAACCGTCGGCGTCGAGCACAACGAGCATTAAGTCATCGGGATGCAGGAGAGGTAGCATAGGGTCCCTCACAACCAAAGCGAGCATCTCCTCATCGTCGTCGCCACCGTGGTCGTCACTGCCGTGGCGGTCGTCAGACCCGTCCTCGTCCTCGCCGCGATGGTCGCCGTCGACATCTCCACCGGGTCCACCCTCTCCCCCAGCACCCGCGGCGACACCCTGTCCCTCGTCACCCGCGGGAACACCCTTTCCCCCGCCACCCACGTCGATATCCTCTCTGATAACACCCTCTCGGACCTCTCCTAGAACAGCCTCCTCACGGACACCCACGTCACCGGCGTCACCGCCGCCACCCCCCCCTGTCTCCAACTCCCTCAGTCGACGCTGCTCCTCCAGATACGCAAACCGACCCTCCCATCCCGGCAAAGTCTGCAGCCGCTCCTCCTCCTCTCTGGCCAGCCGGGCATCCCGCTTCTCCGCGGTCTGCATACGGTCCTGCACATCGAAGTCGTCGGTACGGAGCTCCGACGGGAGGCACCGCCCTGTCTCGGGGCACTCAAATCCCCCAAGCCCCCACCTGATCCCCCGACGTCAAAGTCGTCGGTACATGGCTCTGACGGCGAGCGGGGGCGAAGACCGGCGCTGGATGGAGTCCTCTTCACGTCCGGCATGTCCACAGGCCTCGCCCTCTCACGGTCCTCACTGTCATGCGTCCGCTGTCTCTCTGCTGCCGACGCCAACCTCGCCGAACGCCTCATCTCGTCGGGTGGTCCTGTAGTCCGATGATGAGAGGGAGAGTACCGACGATCCTGACGGGGCACCTCCTCCTCCTCACCCTCCCTCTCCGGCTCGCTGTCACTCCTGACCTCCCAACATCGGCCGGTCTGCCGAAGACCCCGAAGTGGCTCCTGCTCCTCGACGTCCTCGTCGCCACGTGGACGTCGTCCACGACGACCCCTGGCTCTGCCGGTGCCACTGGCCTGTCCACCTGACGGCACATCGTCAGTGATGACGGATGTTTGTGGAGCCATGCCGTCAGGTCCTCCACCGTAAGTGAAATACACCTGCTTCGCCGTCGCGTCGCCACTGATGGCGACGTCATCATCGTCCTTCCACTGGTCGTTGGACGTGTCCCATTAGCGTCCGGAGTGCCGTCAGCCCCTGCAGTGTACTCCGGCCACGGCTGTAGCTTTGTCGCCCTCTTGCCGAGCACGTCCTTAACCGGGTCGGCTCTGGGCGGTCGGCAGGCACGGAAAGCGACGACCTGGCGCTCGATGTCCTGCTTGCTAACACTGCCAGCAAGTCGTGCTCCCCACACCTCTCCCTCGTCGTCCTCCTCCTCTCCCGTCGTCCCCTCCCGACCGGTCCCCATAACCCACAGCAACACGTAGCCACCACCCTGCTGCGTGCACGCGGCCAGTTTGAGATTGGTGGCAATCTCAACCAACTGTGCTAGCTTGGCAGACCCAAGCTTGTTGCGCCTCGCCGTGTTGATGCGCTCGTGCTGCGCCCAGTTCCTCTCTGCAGGACACGCGGACGTCCACAAGTGCATCACACGGATGACGATGGTACGCAACTGAGGGTGATGACGTCCGTGAGCAATCCACCACGCCGCACAACGGTCGGTCTCGCGGTCCCCCCGACAATCGTCCGCCTCGGCATCAGACAACTGTCGATCTCCTCAATCTCCCCGGCGCGAGTGGAAATGCCTCATCTGGTCTCGCACGGTCCTATACAGTCTTCCGACCGGATCCCTGCTGGTCTACACGAGCAGAAATCTGTCGCACTCCTCGACCACATGGGCGTCGTCACTGGTCGTCTGCAACGACTCATAATATCGAAAGGACCGTCGACGAGGGTTGAGGAGGTGTGTCGCGGCATGTGCGGGCTCTAGCATGTGGAGGTTGCGGATAGCACCCTCGCGCATGCACGGCTCGACCATGTCCGCCGGCACATCCACCCTCCTCATCAACTCGAGCAGATGCTGACTCCACTCGTACACGATGGACATCATCATCCCCCCCTTATCCATCCTCCTCAGTAGCTGGTGGACGGGCGCCATAACGCGGATGGCACAGTCAACACATTGCCAGAACTCCCCGTCGTGGATCTGCTGCTGCACCCACTGCACCTGGGCGATAAACCTACGCTCCCACGGGATGCGTGCCCACGCATCGCCATGCAGCATGCTCCCCAGCATGTCCTGCCAGCCTTTGAGATACGTTAGCATCAGGAAAACCGATGCAAACCGGGTCTCAACGGGCTCGACGATTATGACGCGAGAGCTCAGCTTGAAGTTCCTGAAAAGGGCGTGAGCAGCGCCGTGCGATTTAAAAAATCGCACTAACACTCGGGCACGGATGATGGTCTCCTTGACCCACCCCACTCGCGTCCCGACATCTGACAACATCAAGTTGCAGACGTGGGTGGAGCAAGCGTTAGGGTCTGTGGCGAATCTGCAGGCCGCCGCCATATAGTTACTGGCGGAGTCCGTGCAGAAGCCGATCACGTCCTTTGCAGGAAAGGACAGGATGATGGCCCGCCACCTGCGATACACGATATCCGCCGTATCGCTCACAGACCCGTCACGTGCGACGGTGGCGTACAGCAGGGCGCCGTTCCCCCCCCCGGCTAGGAAGTTCACGAGCGGCTTGCCGCTACGCGACTTCCTTCCGTCGGAGACGATGGTGGCACCGGTGTGCTGGAAAGCAGAGGGCACCTCGCTCACCATCGACACTACCTTCGTCCTCTGCGAAGGGATCTCGGCGCCCGCTGTAACCCTGTTAGAGGGAAACTATAACCGAAATGTGCGGGGTACTGTTTCTGCCGCCCGGCGAACCCTCTGGAACTCCTTCGCGTAGATCCACTGCAGCCACGCGTCTGAGAACTCGGCCAACTTCTCCTTGTCGTACATCTCCTCGATCGTCCTCTGCCGTGCCCTCTTCACCCTCGTCGTGTATCGTAACCGACATCCTCCTCCCCCACTTTCCTCTTTTCCCTCCTTGCGCGGTCCAACTCAGGTCGTGACGTCCTCGCAGCGTGACCCGCTGGCCCAACCCCTCTCGACGTCATCACTACCTCCTCTTCTCGCAGGTCAGGGCCTCCGACTGCGTCGTCTCACATCCCCGCCTCGTCGACCCCACCCTGGCGCCCCTCCTGCTCATCGAGGACGTCCTGAATCTCGTCCCTCTCTGCGTCGTTCGTCCGTGGCCGCTGCCCACCTACGGGCGCTCTCGTATCGAGTATCCCCTCCTCATCCATCCACCTCTGCACCCGCCGAGGAGTGCTGTCCACAAACCTGTAGTCGGTGTCGTTCTGGAGATTCGCGAGAACTCTCATCCCCGCAACCTTGCAGTACTTCGGCTGCGTGAAATGGCGAGCGGCCTTCGCCGCGTTCCCCTGCCAGACGTGGCTGCAAAAGTTGCAATGCAACTTCCGGTCTCCATGCATCTTCGACTGGTCCCCCACAAGCTGGCCCGCGGTGACGAAGTTCCACACCAAGTTGCCTCGCCTCAACCTCGCGATCTCCCTGTCAAATTGTGGGATGAATCCCCCACCCGGAGACCCCCCTGCAGCGCTGCTCCCCGCACCCCCCATCATCGTCCCCCAACTCCACAGGCTGCTATGCACAGCCAACTCTGAGCGTCTAAGTCCTTGGCCCGTCCGTCGATGTCATTGCTCGCTCCACACGGTCGATGAAGTCCTCGCCACCCGCGCTTGAAAAACTGACCCCTGACGGCACCCTCGCGGCCCCCCTGAACAGCTCGCCGGCCCGCCCGAGGGGTCGCGGCCGCGGCCTCTCCCACTGTCACGGCAAGTCCGGCTGATCTCGGCCGATTTGGCCGAGTTCGGCCGTGTTCGGCTGAGTTCGGCCGCGGCCGGGCACTAAAATCGCCGCGCGGCAATGGCGTGCGAGTGGGACCCAGTGGCGGCCGCGCCGCGAAGGCGTCTGACTGGGACCGAGCAGCCAGGGCCCTGATGGCGTCGCGGTGAGCCCCATGAAGAGGAAGACTGCGAAAAAAAAATCTCTCTCTCTCTCTCTCTCTCCTCCTGGCACGCACGCACAAGCCTCGTAACGAGGTAGAAGAAGAAGGAGGAAAAGAATGAAAGACGACGACGAAGAAGAAGAAGAAGAAGAAGAAGAAGAAGTCTCTCTCTCTCACTTTCTCTCTCTCTCTCTCACATCCTCCTTCGTTACTCCGTGGCTGAGCTCCGCGGCTATGGCCTTCTTCTTCTTCTTCTTCGTTGGAGCACACAACGATCCTCACAGGTACGTGACAACCAATCTTCTCTCCCTCTCCCTCTCTCTCTCTCTCTCTCTCTCTCTCTCTCTCTCTCTTCGTGCCTAACGGCCTCTCTCTCTCTCTCTCTCTCTCTCTCTCTCTCTCTCTCTCTCGCGGCAGCATAACGGCAACAGCATTAACTATTGCCGTTTCAGAAAAATGTCCGCGTTTATCTGAAACGGCAACAGCTTTGCCGTTGCCTGTGCCTGGACCCCCCCCCCCCCCCCCCCCCCCCCCCCCCCCCCCCCCCCCCCCCCCCCCCCCCCCCCCCCCCCCCCCCCCACCCCACCCTTTTTTTTTTTTTTTTTTTTTTTGGTTTTCGTTTTTGTTTTTTTTTTCGCGCGACCTGCAATGCGGACAGCGGAAAAAAAAATATGGGCGTGTAGGGCTTTTTCAGCCCTGCACGCCCATTTTTTTTTTGTGCGCTAAAATATGCAAAAAAAAATCCTGCACCAAACTCGGCGGGTCGGCCTTGGCCGAACACGGCCGATTTGGTCGACGGCCGCGGCCACGGCCGATTTTTCGGCCCCGGCCGCGACCGGGCGTGCAACATAGGCCGTGGGTTATACATAGCCGTACCGGGCGGTTCGTTGTATTCGGGGGAAGAAGGGCGGCTTTTTTCTCGGATTCGGGCCTCATCCGGCCTATTGGAAAGGCGGTCATGGTCATGAACTCCTCGATTGCCAAAGCTGATTGGCGTTATTGTCAGCAGACTTTGAAACTTTTTGAATACCGTATTTCTGCAACTTCCCAGGTATATTTGTGGCCTCCCCTGATACTTCTCCAAACATGTATTTCTACAATTTGCCGTTGTATTCAACGGAGATAACTCGAGTCTAACTCCCATCAATGATCGTACGGTTGTTCGTGGGGCCTCTTGCTGTACTTGACCTGCGTCCTAGACCGTCTTTAGACTCTTCACCCAAATAGAATGCCCTGTAGTTATAGCTGTACCTAGACAAACATCATCCGAGCTGACCATCCGAGTGAAGACGGCAGACAATGGCCTTCACTCCACTACTCTCGACAACATGGGTAAACAACAAAAATCATGGTGGTGTATCTTTCCATATTCTGGCGGAAGATTCACTCCGGTTTTGCACATTTTGAGAGTAGTGGAGCGAGGCCCTGATACTGTATTAGGGCCTTTTATGGCAAAATAGCTAAAATTTGATGGTTGGGCCAGTCACACAAGGGAGGGAAAGTGCCAAAAGCAGCAAACCGGGTATCAAATGTCAGTGGCCTGGCTGCCCGCCCACCGGGAAGGGCATTTCATTTTTTTTTTCAGTTCAAAAGATCATGAAAGGAAATTCGAAACTGAATTTTGTTGAAAAGAAAGTAAGTTCAAGGATTCGGGTCTCGCGCTGTATGACCAGGCAAGGCCTCATTTTGGCCATTGCCAGGAAGTCCGTCTCGTGTCTTTGTTATTGAACTAATCAGAACAGATACTACACTTGATCTCACTTAGCCAAAAGCCCAAGAAAGGTATGTGATTTGCTGCTGCTATGCCACCCCTGTGGCATTTCAGCAAAAGCAGGATAGCAAAATTGGCAGATTTCGCTGCTATGCCACCCCTGTGTCAGTACGCCCTAAGGTTGGATTGAGCAAACTGGACCATCCTCTCACCAACCTATAGGCAGACACAGACACACACAGACACACACAGACACAAGCTCCAGTGTATGTCTAACACCGCAGCCAAAACATCCACCAGTCGTTCTCCTACCTTCCTTTTTATCATTTTTTTTTACAAAAAAAAAAAAAAAAACACTCCAATTTTATTTCAAGACATTGTCGAAGCCGGTGACCAGAACTGGTCCTAGTTCAATTCTCCTTTTTGTTTCTATTATAAACGAAGTGGACCCGCCGCGGCTTCGCTCGCGGCAAGGTCGGAAGGGGGAGGGAGGAGCGAGAGATAAACAGGGTGGGAGCGCAGAGACCGGGTCGTTCACACAGAGGAGGGAGGAGAAGTCAATGAACCCACCATGAGACAGGAAGGAAGCGACGGAAGGATGAACTGATTCGTGCTTTTGTAAGAAAAAAAAAAAAAAAAAAAAAAAACTTGTACTTTTGTTCAATAATGGACGGTCCGTTGGTTTGATTTTGTTTTGTTATATAATCAATCAACAATTTGTAATTGTAAAAAAAAAAAAAAAAAAGATGCACCATGTTTTTTGTCGCACATGCACAACCACTCATTTTCAATAAGGGACGGTGCGTTTGTGTGATTTTGTTGTTATATAACCAATCAACAATTCGCAATTGTAAAAGAAAATCAAATAAGTTGATGATTTTTGCATGGGGAAAAAAAAAAAAAAACTATCTATCTCTCCCCCAAACGCCTCTGCGCTCTTCCCTCTGTTTGCGGATCTTTAAACCGAGAGAAAAAAAAAAGACAAAAAAACAAAAAAAAACTGAACAAATTTGCGATCATCCCGATTGGCTCCCCCTGCCCCTCTCTCTTCCAAACCTCCTCTTCCTTCCCCCCAATCAAGGCTGTGATCCCGACTCCGTCCTTGTTCCCAACTTGTGATCCCGATCGCCTGGTCCCCCCTCCGCCCCCCCCCCCCCCCTCTCTTTCTCTTCCGAACTTCTGCCTCCTTCTCCCAATCCCGCTTGCTATCCCAATCGGCTCTCCCTTCCCTTCTTTCTTCCAAACCTCCTCTTCCTTCCCCCAATCCCGATTGTGATCCCGACCCCTCCCCTGTTCCCAAGTTGCGATCTGGATCGCTTCCGCCTCCCTCCTCCCCTCCGTCCCCGCCTCCTTCCCCCAATCTCGCTCGCTATCCCGATCGGCTCCCCCTGCCCCTCTCTCTTCCTAATGTCCCAACTTGCGCTCCCGATCACCTGGTAGGCTGGTCCCCCCTCCCCCCTCCCCCCTCTCTATCTCTCTTCCGAACTTCTTGCCCTTCTTTTTTCCGAACCTCCTCTCCCTTTCCCCAATCCCGACTGTGATCCCGACCCCTCCCTTATTCCCAAGTTGCGATCTCGATCGCCTCGTCCCCCCTCCTCCCCTCCGTCTCCGCCTCCTTCCCCAAAACCCGCTCGTCATCCCGATCGGCCCCCCCCTGTCCCTCTCTTTTCAAAATCTCCCGACTTGCGATCCCGATCAC